CATTCAACAAAAGCTCGCATGAAATTACGTGACGTGTCACTTCCCGTTTTCCCGTTGCGCGACTCTTCATCCGGGAGACCTCGTTACCCATTGAAATGAACAAAGAAAGCCAAACTGATGCGTGTCAGGTGGTCACACAAGCCCCACCCCCTTGTCACGACATGCAATGTAAATAGGGCTAATCTGCGCTGTACATTAGGAAACACTTTGCATGTTGGCGAAGGACGTGGAAGTCAGTTATAAAAGGAGCTGATCTCATTGTTTTGGGTGGGAACTGAACTTTCAAGATGCCCCACTCAAAGGCGCAAAAACAGAAAGTTCGGGTAAGCATGAGCGAAGACACTTCTTCGGACCACGAGGACGGGGAAAGAGAACACTTTATCGCGTGTTGTCTACCAAAAGGATGTCCTTTAAAAAGCTCCGTCGATTTGCCGACCTCTGTTCGGGTTATTTGCAACAATGACGCCTGCCAACAGAGCGGCTACATGCACGTCGAATGTTTTGACGATTTCGAAGAGGAAATTCTCGCGTATTTACGAGGAACTGGACGAGCGCGTAGCTGGTCAGAGAAACAGAGAAGGCAGAACATATGGACAAAGAAGGGCTACGACTTGGCCTACAAGTGCTGTGCCTGCCAGTGCGGAAAAGGACATTTGAGAAAGGATCTTGAGTTTCAACCGCCAAAGCCCGAAGAAGTGGGCCAATTGCATTTGCAAAACCAGATAAAAGGCAAACGAAAGAAAAAGAAAGGCAACGAGAAACCATCTGTTAACGTTTCGACGACGAGCAGACCTCGCAGAAGTTCCCAATCGTCTAACTGTAGTCAGTTATCTGAGTCACCACCTGAACGATCGCCGATCTCACCGCTCCCAAAAACTCCCACCAAGAAAACGAGAGCGAATTCGCATGAAAATAACTGTCACTTCTTCGGCGAGGCGTTCGCCAGTGTCAATAATTCGAACGTACTTGCTACGCACGCGAATGTGTTGAGTAACTTTTTGAAAAGAGCGGACTTCAGCTCGTTTCAAGGCGTTTTACCTAAGCACAAAGTGAACCCTTATCATATTAAAATGGAGGATGAGGTGAACGACGAGGCGCGTCATTTTGTACTCTCGAATCTCTCTTCTCGCATGACCTGCACAGCGAGCTGCGTGCTCTGCAGCCGAGAGCTGCCCGTTTTCGATAAATACCCTCTTATCGACGGAACGTTCTTTCTTTCACCGAGACAGCTAAACCCGACCTGCATGGATGTGTCACAAAACGGTAAAGCGCAGTACCTGACAGCGGTGTGCGTGCAATGTTTGGAGGGCATTCCCAATCGCGTCAAGTGCAAACTCTGCAACAAAGAATGGGACGGCTCTTCACATCAACTTGGCACCATGTACTGTTACGACATCTTCGCCGCCTCGCCTTGCTGTCAACAGAGGGTGGCTTGTCATTCTTGTGGCAAACCTGTCGTGGATTTGAACGAGGGCATGAAATTCTTCTGGGAGTATTCACAGTCGATGAAGTGCCCTCATTGCGGTGTTTCAGGCTTTCACTGTATTAAGTCGATCTCGTATTATGAAGTCCCCGACGTAATACGCTAGTCAGGTCATAGATTTGGCAGAAGTTGCAGTATTGCGAATAACCGGCATTTTGATCATCCTGGGCGGCCATGCATGTCAATTGAAAGATTCTTCAAGTATACACAACGTTTAGGTGTGGCTAATGGTAATGATCAATAAGTCTCAATGTTGGCTCAAAAAGAAAAAATAAACCATTTGGGCCAGGTAAAATTGGCATTTTGAAGCAATGTATTGTGTCTTGTACAATATGATAATTGTCGCTCTAATACAGATAATTGTGAGAATGAGCAATTTCATTCTGACACAAGCTTGCCAATTTTTGAAGACATCAACATTGAAATTCTCTGACAAGAAACTTAAAATGCACCCTGGCCAATTCATTGCGCCTTGCCACTCCAGGATTGGGGAGGGGTTCCACAACTGTCACAAGCCGTATCACATACATTTCTTCTTTAGCAGTTCTTAGAACAAATTACAATACTGTCAATAATGACCAATTTATTTATTTTGAGCACTTAGAGTAAGTTGGCAGTCTTTTCCATTTAATTTTTGTTCTAGAATAAACTGTTTCGGAATAATTTCTCAATTTTTTAAAAACAGGTCTTTTAATAATTATAAAATGCCCTGCATTTAATTATTTTCACATGAAGCATCAGCTTAAACAGGATTTCAAATCAAGGGGCAATTTATTACTTGTAAATATGATCATTTTTGTGACTGTACATGGTGCATTGATCCATTAGGCAGCCTAAAATCTATGACAAAATATTCTGTCATTTTTATTTCTTATTTGCCCAATGTGGCTGCCTTTCACCTGTGATGAGAAAGCATGCAAATGATGGCCAAGAATGGCATAAGAGACAATAGAACAAGTTCCAAACAGGTACACAAACACAATTTTATCATATGAACTCTAATCCATTTCACCTCACAAAACCCTGAACAGTGAGAAAAAGTAAGCAAATATACATAGCAAACTATCAGATAGACAGAGATCATTGTGAAGTTTGTTCGATTTAATTTTCCTAAAGAACAGAAAGTAACTTACTGAACCTGTTAACCATTAGTGAGAGATTAATCAACAAGCCCTTGTAATTTGCATGCAGCAAGCGAGCTAGCTTACATGAAAGTTGCTCTTCTGTTACTGT